TCTAATTGCCAATGAGAAACTTGTCATCTGACCTGAGAAAGCACTTTGTCTTTTTCAGTGGACAGGCGGTGGAAATGGGAGCGGAACTGAGCTGTAATTGGTTTCTGTTTACCAGTAATCTTTCCACGGACACAACCACAAGCAATTAGTCAGACAGCTCGGGCTTTATCAGTACAAAAGTGGCACAGTGTGTGGATGGGTGCATGTGTGCGTGTTATCCATGAGGGAGGGTGTAATTAGGATGAAGGAGGCATGAGATAAAAATTAGCTCTTTTGTCCTGGTTCTGTTTTACTCCCTTGGCCCTGACAGTGTCTTCTAGAAGTTGTGAATGTGACAACAGTGAGCCTCTAAAGTTCCTTAATGAATGGGAAAAGATGCTGTATGACTCATCAGTTCCCACCCCATGTACATACACATTTTAAACACAAAAGGGCTTTAAAGCAGATTGTATAATGTTTTGAAAAGCTTGAAAATGGAAGTGCTGACAAATGTTTTACCAAAAGGAAGAAGAATTGGGCTTTTTAAATCACATTAATTTGTTTACATTGTGTCAGGCTTTGTGAGTCATTGTGAGGAAGGACTACAAATGTGAGGATGCTGAAAAACCCAGAGAACCGTTTTACTGCAGCTGTGACAAAGCGAAAAAACAAGAAAAGCTCCGCTGAATGTCAGACAGCCCGGTAAGTGGAGGATAGCCAGAACTGAAATCAAACGCAGCAAAGCAGTGGATTTATGAATGAAACTGCAAGCACTGCGCACACACACACAGATTTATAATAGACAAGATTTGACAGGCAGCCAAAAATAAATAGAGATCATAGTGCACGCTGGTTGACGGCACTCTCTCTCTCTCTCTTTCTCTCTCTCTCTCACACACACACACACACACACACACACCTCCGCAGTCCCTCTGTCACCCCGCCCGTCTCTGGCTTTGGCGGAGTCCGTATGTGAGTCATCGGTGGACTTTTAACCGTCTCCGTCCCTCTGTGCTGCAGCAGAGACACAACGACAGCAGCCATTCAACACTTTCTGCTGGTAAACACACTATAAGCGCATTATATAATCAGCGCAGGCACACGGTAACTCATACATTCTGATTTTATTTAGTCCCGATCATTTAGGATTTTAACGGTGAATGGACCCTCAAAAGGTGAGTTAGTGTAAACAGCTTGGTCTTCCTCCTCCACCACATCTGAACAACAACAATAAGGTTTCTCAGAAGAAACTGAATTTCAAACACCGCCTGAGTCGCGCTCTGTGATACCCTGGGCAGCCCTATAAACACGGGGCTTTATGCATCTAAGCTGTGTTGATGGCTGCACGAACTAATTTCAGTCCGTATTTAGAGACAGAAGCACTTTTGTTTGGCTGCCTCAAATGAAATACCCGCGTGCGCGTGCTGGGCGTTTTTAATGTAAGTGAACTCGTGCGCGTGGGTGTGTTGCGTATCTCCTTGTTCTCTGACGCACGAGTCAGGTGGTTCCTCTAATAGCGCGAGGAGCTCTCCGCGGTCCTGAAATCCAGACTCGCACCGCGAGGAAGAGAGATGCTCAGCTCACTCCCGACCCTCGGCAGAAACTGAACTCCAGAGGTGAGCTATCTGTTGTTTGTGCTCGTGCCGTCTAACGCACGCGCTTTTCTCTTTTCTCGCCGCGAACAGAGAGCGGGCTTTTCAGTCGTTTAAAAAGAGCTTCGCTTTTTTGCCAACCTGATGCGCCGCTACAGATGTTGAGGAGCAGATGTCGTGTTGGTCGCAGAGTGCCTTTGTTCTCGCGCCGCTCCAGGTTATTTTCGGAGCCTCTGTGGCTTTTAAGAGTAACTTTTAGTGCTGCATATGTAAACATTAGTCTAACCATAATATTTGCTGAAGTTCGAGCAAGTTAAATGTAGGTTTGAAGAACCGATGGACACACAAACACGGTGCTTGTGATGCCGTAGCACTTCTGGTCTTTTCTCGTGTTCTTATTATTCTCTGTTATTCTCTATGTCCTTATTATTTCTCTCACTGAGACACAATTCTTGTCTTAGTGAGAGAAATGAAATGAAAGAAATAAAATTATTCTGTAAGTATGATTTAATGAACGCTGACATTTATGTGCGGACTTAAAAGTTCGAAAAATAAAAAGGTTGTTCAGAGGTTTTCGGGCTAAAGGAGAGACTCCATGGGAACATCAGCCCTACCGGGTTACCTTGACAACAAGGGCCGTGACTCACGGAGAGCAGCAATTCGATGTCTAATGAGATTTTAGACGGGAGCTGGAAGGCGCTGCTGTTCCCGCTGCTGGCGAACACATTCCGGTGTCATCTCCAAATATCAGCGAGGGAAAACAAACAGTGTCTGACCTGCACAGCGATTTACACTCATAGTCACGGCTACTACGTATTTTTACTTTGTAAAAAATATGTTAACATACACTTGAAATGTGTCAGGTTAATAAAATAAAATAAACAATTCAATCTTCTGTCTGTCTTCAGGATTTTCTGTTAATTTAAAAAATGGTATGGAGTATGAAGTGCAGTATTTGTTTCCCAAATTCAGGAGAATACAGTCTGAAATAGGAGTGAATGAGGCCGAAATCTTTAAATCTGTAAGTACTTCTGTAAATGTAGCCTACTAAGGGTGGGGGTAGATGACATTTAGGAGGGCAATCATATTTAGTGGGAGCCCCACCACCACTCCCACGCCCTCCCTGATTCTAACTACAGCAGAGCAGAGCGGATGTAAAAGGCTAACAGTAATTTAATAGTTAATTTCACATTTATTCCAATGTGTTTGACCTGGTTTCCATCAGAGCACCAGTCATCCCTGTCACGGACAAACAAATGGACTCAGTGTCGCCAAAGATGTCACCGTGGTTTGCGCTGTTATCATCAAAGCAGACATTTAAATTGACAATGACAGCAGAAGGCATTTTAGAAATGCCAGAGCGGTAACCACTGAGAACCCGTTAGGTAAAACCGTGTAAAGGTCAGAGCTGACATGTGCTTCTTTTGTCTTTCATCTACAGGCGTCACCATGCCGTCACTCCCTGAGACCTCTGCCACAGGCAAACCTTTCCTTGTCTGTTTTGCCAACCTCCTCTTGATCCATCTCTTCCTCAGTTCCTCCAGCGTTCATGGGGCTTCGATGAGGGCGCATAGACTTCGTGGAAGTGAATCAGAGAGTAGGAATGTCCACCAGGTTCCTAACGCAGATATGCTGAAAGCCTTGGAGTACATTGAGAGCCTCCGTCAAAGAACCAATGTGGACCCTCCTCTCACTTCAGCTGCCGATGCTGGCCACATGGATGATGCTGAGAAGCTGCGTGCCATGGTGAGGCTTGCTTCCAACCCTACACAGAGCAAAGATGAGGAAGAGGAGGACGAGGAAGGAAGGGAGGATAAGAGTGAAGAGCTGCTGCAGGCTGTGCTCAGCACGCTCCAGCAGACGGAGGCCTCCAAGCCTGCTCTGCTTCGCCCCAGCGCAGAGAGGACAGACATGAAGCACAGGGTGTACGTGCAGCAGAAACAACAGAGCATCACGCCTCACAAGAAGCTGCCCTTAATGTTTGAGGATGAGGAGGAAGGTGAGGGGGATGAGGAAGAGGACGAGGAGGGGCTGGAGCATGACAGCCCATACAAACGTACCAATGAGAATGTGGAGGAGAAGTACACACCTCAGAACCTCGCCACGCTGCAGTCTGTTTTTGATGAACTTGACAAGCTGACCAGCCCAAAGACCACACATAAGCGCTTAGATGAGGAGGACAACATGGAGAAGGACGATGTAGATGAAGATCTGTTTAATGCGAGGAATGCAGCGTATGACGATATAGGAGGGGATCTGACAGACTGGGGTCCACTAGAAGGACGGGAAGAGGAAGACGAGCAGGAGGAGAGGCAGAACAAATATGAGGCTTACAGAGGGCTCGATTACATCGACAACAATGACGAAGGGGCTGATGCGGATGAAGAAGAGGAGGAGGAGGATGGTGAAGGGTACCCCGTTAAAAGGTCAAAAGATCTGGATGATGCAGGAAATCTGGTGGACTACTACCTCCTGAAGGTGCTGGAGAAAACGGAAGAGGAAGAGCAGAAAAGAGAGCTAGAGGAGGAAGAGGAAAGAGAGAGGGCGGTGAGGATGGTGGCTCAGAGGCAGTACAGAGATAACATAGATCCACGGGTCATCTACAAACTCATTCAGATCTCCCAAAAATACCAGATCCCACCCGAAGACCTGTTGGACATGCTGAAAACAGGAGACTTGACGAACCAGGACAAGTCGCAAAAGAACAATGGTTTAGCCAGAGGAGAAACTACGCACTCTAAGATATCCTCAAAGAAGATAAACACCATTCCTCAGGAAAAATTCTACAACAGACGCCTGCCTTATCCGCAAAAGACCGCAGAGGAGCTAAGAACGGAAGAGATCCTTAAAATCCTGGGGCTGGGAGCGGCGGAGAATCCCATCAGGAAGCAGAAGCACCACAGAGGCTCACTGTCACGACTTCACAGTCAGCCTGCGGGAGTGTTTGGGGAATCCACTCCCACGCAAAGGCGCCTTCCCAGCACTTTCAAAGATGACTACGATGACACCGTGGATGAGGATGAACTGGCAGCATATCTAGCTGCTCAGATGCTGGCACAGTATCCCAAACCTGCGTACAGGAACAACAAGGCGACTCAAAAGCGGGAGGAAGCTGGCCAGAGCGCAACGGGCTCTTTTGAAAAGGCCATGGAGGAATATTTTGATCAAATGGATTCAGATAATAGCCCAAAGGAAAAGAAACTGTCTGAGGGTGACGAGAGGGGCAGTAACGCTCAAATGCAAGGCTTAGAGAATGAGGCAATGATGAAACTGCTGAGCTATCTGAACCCAGAAACTGAGGAAAGCGATGCCAAAACTGCCCCGGGAATATAAATCAGGCTGTAGATATATATACATAATTCTCTATTGTTTTGGTGGAAGGAAGAAAAATAAAGTATTTTGAAGAATAAAACATGCAGTCAACTTTAGTTATTCTGTAGGTTTACAAACGTTCCTGTTTATTAGCAGAAATGTAAGTGTTCAGACATTCTCTTGATGTTTTTCTTTTTGTTTTTTTCCAGATGACTTGGTTGCTCAAACAACACTTAATGAGTACACGTGTCTCACCAGCCTTACATTTCGACGCACACACAATCAAAGCCAGTGTTGGATCCTTTAGATTCACTTGTGTTTTTTTTGGTAATTCTTTCTTAAATGTGGTCATATGTGACATAGCTGAGGTAAATAAAGCATTGACTTTATTTTTTTCCTTACTGTCTAGTGTTTCTCCATTTGCTCACCACCACACAAAGCATCGGTCTTAACATATAATAAAGTCACAAAACAACTAATACTAAGTGAAAAAGGTGATATTGGCTCATTTCAGTCACTTCTCCTGTCACGAAACCCTGAGATTAATAAATATGAGCCTTCAAAGGCACTTACAGATGCAAACATCATTACTATTCTTCACACCTGAGTCAAAATATCACCAGGTTTGTGGTTGTTGTATGGCCACAGCACTACCCTGAAAGAGTCTTTACTCTCGCTTAACTCGATAAACATCTCGCTTCATGCTTTCAAATGTGAACCATCCGCTGTCCTCTCTTGGCTCAGTAGGCAGGTTTGCTCATGTATTCTTCCATCGTCTGTGGTGACATAAGAGCCACAAAAATGAATTTTCAAAGAGTCAGGGCAAAGCTTGCACTAGCTAAATGTTTGACAAAAGCTTAATATACCTCTTGGAGTGTGTCGGCCTCCTCCAAAGACACACCCACGGCCAGTTTGGAGGTTTCTAAGATCTCTCCTCCCATGAGGAACTCATCCAGGATGAAGTAAGCCTTCTCGAAGTTGAAAATGATGTCCAGCTCACACACCTGAAAAAGAACGACACAGCATGCATCAGATCAGAGAAATGAATACATCTCGTAACACTTTACTGAATAGTTGTTTTACCATAAACAATCAAACGATAATAATGTTAATGAATCATTTGCAATCAGCTTAAATCATTAGGGTGTGTAAAAAAAATAACTCTGAATTACGTACTGTTGTACACAATAACTATTATGGAATATGGAATGTACATTTGAAATATTACAAAAACAATTTGATAAAAACTTAAAATTTCATAAGTGGGTGATAATTTTTCTCTCATCTGTATACACTCCTGAAAAAATCTGTTATGAACATCAGTTGTAACTGTAACCATTTGGATAATGTTGATACATGTTTTACAAACCAACTCTTTACCGATCAGTAAACATCTATGTCTCTCAAACTACAAACTCAAGTTTAATTAACTATCAGTTTATTTTTTAAATGATACTTATTTAGTTATTTAAGTGTTATTAAGTGGATGAAACCACCAATTAAATTTCATTAAACTTTAGAAAAAAATTGCAAATATATGAAAGAAAGAAAGAATTACAAGGAAAAATAAATACATATATGCAGACTTTTATATATTGTTGTCAAGCCAGTTTGTTTCCCAAACAAATTAACCTCCCAGTGTTTTGCATTGAGAACGCAAACCACTCGTTCTCATTGGCTGGTTTTTGTAAATAAGAAGGTTCAGCTGATTTCTAAGTCTAGTCAAATCAGGAGTGCTTCAAAGTGTTTTGAAGCAGTGACAGATTACAGACACCAGAGGGAGTCTAACAAGCTTGAGCAAAGGAGTTTTTACTGTCCTCACCATGAAAAAAAAACAACCCACATTGCACTGTTTCACCTAAAAAGGCACCCACAGTGACTCTGTACTTGATTTTTAGACTAAGCTCCTTTAACCTAATCAAGGGGTCTGAACTGAAGTTGATAGAGCTACATAAAGTGCACTCAACTTCCATTCAACATATCTGTATCTATGTGCAGAAGTTGAACACAGGCTGTGAGCCAGGGCCTGCCACCTGACATCACCCAATGTATAAAAAAGCTGAACCAATTTAGCCTGAGTGAGAAAAAATGCCAGCAGCCAGGGTGTCCAACAATCACATACTTGAGTCCATACACGGTGGCTGTATTTTTTCAATATTTGAGAAGAATTTTGAGAGGCTTGCATAACTCCCAGTATAACACTGGTGACTTAGGTCAACCTGTGCAGAGCTGTTATTGGCCAAAATAATTGAGAACATCTTAGCAGAGGTGCAGGGACAACTGAGAAAGATGGATGATGTTTAAAAAGAGCCCCTTAACAACCTGGATTGTTGTAGGCCATGGCATCCAACTCTACTTACGTTTCCAAAGTATTTATCCAGCAACTCAACATATCGGTGCAGCACCTCGAGGGCAAGCAGCTCATTATCCTTGTCCTCCAGACCAGCACAGAAGTACAGGCTTGCATACCTGCAGTGGAGGAAGAGAAAAGCTTATTGTGATAATTTTTACAAT